CGGTAAGCATACCAATGTACTAGGTCCTAAACCGCTTCCGCATAAATCTAAGATTTCCTACAGAAACCATCCCATAGAAGACACAAGTTGTGAGAAAAATGAAATTTAAACAAGAGAGGAGGTACCTTTGGATTTAACAACATTGTTCTTTCTGTCTCAGTTGCTTCTTTATTCTCTTTGTGACTTCACCATCGTAACAAATACAAAGACATCGTTACATGATAGTGAAAAATGAGAATGGACATTACATGAAAAAAAAAAACAAAAACAAAATAGAAACATACACTAGAAGACTGTAACACGAACCAAAAAGCACTTATTGAAAGAAACATAGACTGTGCAAGACTTGCAACACTTATTCACAGAGACATGAACTATGAAAAGATTGCAACACTAATTGCAATCTCTTGTCAAGAAGAAGCTCATGGCATTATAATGTCCTTCTCCACCTCTTTACATGGAGTCTTGATTTACACTATCTTCCCCTTCACTACTGCTAGGACCTTCTTCTGAAAGATAACCTTCTGAAGAAAGCATGGAGTCTTGATGATAATCTTGACCGTCCTCCACTTTAGCATTGTTATGAGGAGCTTGGAGTGAAAGAATTGAGGGGGCATATCTGCTATTCCATATCTTGTTACCCATTTCTAATACTTCTTGCTCGCGTGCCACCAAAGCTTGATAATTCTTCGTCAACCTCCGTTGGTATTTCCCTTTCATATTGAAAAATTCCATCCTGTAGTTGTCGGAGGTCATGTTAACACAATTCTTGGAGAAATCTTCTGTTGCTTCGATGGTGTCAAATGGGTAAAACCCACATGCGTTGTGGTACTCAACTGTGGAACGCAATAACCAAAGCTCACGTTCCAAATTTTCATTGAAAACTTCCTCAGAATACCCATCGGGTGCAAGCACAAGGGCATCTCTGCTACCCCATATAATGTTACCCATATCTAACGCTTCTTGTTCGCGTGGTGTCAAATCTTGAAACTTGTTCTTCAACCTCTTTTCGTATTTCTTTCTCAGATTGAAAGACTCTGTACAGTGTTCTCCCATGGTCATCTTAACCCATTTCTCGCAGAAATCTTCCCTCGCTTCGATGCTGTCAAATGGGTAATACCCAAATTCGTCGTGGTACGCAATTGTAGAAATCAATAGCCAAATCTCGCGTTCCAAATCAAAGTAGACACCTTTTGGAACTTCTTGTGAGGGAGCAGGTATAGCATTTGGATGCATGGTGATGAAAGAAGAAGGAAGAAGAAAATGAGAAAAGAGAGAATGTGAATGAAGAAGACACACAACACAGAATTCGAAAAGCCTTTTTCAATAAATGGGTTTCAGAAACTGTGCGACTTTTTGATTGTGAAGGTTCGTTGCGTCGAATTTGTATATATATACACAAAATTACACACCGATTGCAGAAGGACCGAGAAGCTAGCAATTCATGTAATTGATCCTATAAATTTCACTTTAATTAGATTAACATTTTAATTTAGAATCACTGAATGAATTTTTCAGTCATCCAATAACAAGAGTTTGAAAACAAATACAATGTTGTAAACTTGCATACATTTAAATTGAATTTTTAAATTAATGGGTCATGATCGTGATGTATTTTATAATAAAATTGTAAACACTCAACTATCGAATATGTTCATTTCGTTATTGTTATTAAACCAAAGGAAAATAAGTTTAGTGCAATATTAACCTGATAATAATTTTGGTTCGAATTTATTTAGCATAAACTATAAAAAAAGTTGTGACTCAGAAAATTAGATTACGGATTTTACAGCGTGATCCATATCATATATATGTGACCGGTCTCACAAGATTTCATCTTAGCTTATTTTTTTCTCATTTTATTTTTCCCATGACTCCGAAGAATAATAAAAATGTTGTCTGTTGTTTTTTTTTTATTAGAAATTTCTCTTAATTCAATTAGATGCATATTGTCTTCCTATTTCGAAGATTGACATATGACACCATAGTAAAGATGTGAACAAAGACAAGGAAGTTAACCGTCACATTCCACGTCATGTCCCCCGTAAAAAATGGAGCATCATTATTCCCTCACAATTCTAATTACACAAATGAGAAAATACTTGTCAATCAGTTTTGTTTTCTACAAAAACTTCAAATAATTGATTTACTATATCTTTTACTTAAATTGACCCCTTATTCAAGGCTTTAGTAATGGTGAATTACCATTAAGAAGACTCAGCCAAGGTATCACTATACAAACACCTCTATCAACCTAACTGAGCCAAAACGCTATTCTTTATTTCTTTTAAAATTGTTGGGTTGCTACATTTGAGATATAGAACAAGGAAAAGCATGAAACATGCACATTACATGGGAAGAAAAATTCTGAATTCTAAAGCAAAAACAGAGACAATTAATTGGAGAAAAGCAAAGGCCTCTGAATCTAGTTGAATTGAAATCTTTCTAAGCCAAGTTCCCGTTGTTGTGAAAATTGAAAAATGCACATTACATGGGAAGAAGAAGAAGAAAAACATGAAAGAAACGTACACTATGTAAAGATTGCAAGACTAATTCAAAGAAACATAGACTGTGCAAGACTGCAACATTTATTCAAAGAAACATGCACACTACTATGCAAGATTGCAATTACACTAATGATTGCTGGGATCTTGATGATGATCTTCATGCACCTTCTCTTTACCTTTGTTATGATCCTCTGCTGCTGAAAGCTTGGATTCTTGATGATCTTCACACTCCTTCTCTGGAAGTGGACGCACAGGGTCAACATTTTCTATGCGAATGCCTACAGTTCTGGAATACCATATACTGTCGGCAAGATGAAAAGCTTCACGCTCGTGTGGCTCCAAATTATCAATACCCTTCTTCAACCTCCTAACGTATCTCTTTCTCACATAGTTATTTTCTTCTATGTACTCTTCTACTGGCATATGAACGCAATTCTTGGCGAAATCTTCCCTGGCCTTCTCGCTCACAAATGGATAAATCCCACGTGTGAGAAAATACTCACGAGTACTGCGCAAGAACCAAATCTCAAATGCCACGTTAGCATATATCTCTTCATCTTCCATTCTCTGTGGGGGACGATTAGCTGGTGGATCCATGATGGTAGCAGCAGATAACTGATTGAAAGTTGAAACACTGAAAGAGAGGAAGAGAAAGATAGAATGTGAAAGAAAGACCAAGACACCCAAACAAGTTCTTGAATTCCAAACGCCAAAGCCTTTCTGTTATATCATTGTCAAGGTTAGTTGCGTGGAATTTATGTATATATATAAGTATATAACCATATCATATGTAACCGGTCTCACAAAATTTATTATATATTCAGCTTTCATTGACTCCTTTATAAATCTAACTAAATCAAAATGCTATTCTTTCTTGCCAAAAAAATTAAAATATTACACTTTTAATAATTAATTACGAATAGGTAGTGAAAACTATATTCAAATTTATTGCAAGTCATTCACGTGTAAGTTAGGCGTGATTCCCTAGGCATTCAAGCTGGTGTTGTCAAGTGACAAAAAAAGTCAACATACGAACCGTAAAACTTTGAAAAGCCATAACTTTTGACTCGGGTATCCGAATGAGGTAATTCTTTTTTTGATTACGCGTAACTTTTCGAGATCTACTCAATGACATCTCATTTGATATATTTGATCTCTCACAAACACAATTCAAATTTGCAATAATTGTATTATATAGTGTATTATCAAAAAAAATTTAAAAAATTATTATTAATAAGAAAAACAAAATAAAGATTTAGGCGTGAATGCTTGGGAGTCACGCCTAACTTAGGCGTGAATAGTCACACCTAATTTGGGCGTGAATGACTGCAATAAATTCGAATATAGTTTCCAAACTGCTACCTATTCGTAATTAGTTATTAAAAGAGTAATATTTGAATTTTTTTGCCATTCTTTCTTTCTATCTTTTTTTTTTCCTTTTAAAATTGTTGATTTGCTAGCTGCATTGGCATGGAAGCACTTGGATAGAACAAGAAGAAATGTGATCGATCATACAGAAGATGCAACTTTGACATTGACATATAGGGGTGTGTTCAATTCGGTTTTCTATACCGAACCATACTAGAAAAGTGAACCAAACTGGTTTTGAACAGTGGTTTGATTCTTGAATTAATTTAGAGAAAATAATTAAACTTTTAGACCGGTTCGGAAAAATATACTATTAGGTTTTGGTTCTCGGTTCAGTTTAGTTTATTTGTTTTTCTAACTCTCCTAAAAATAAGTATGGTTCAAAACCAAACCAAGCCGAATTGACAAACTGGTTTGGTTCTTGAACCGAATTGGTTTTGAAAAAACAGTTTGATTTTTGAACTAGTTCTAATAAAATGGCTAAATTCTTTAACTAGTTCAAAACTATAATTATTTTGGTGCGATTTCGATTATTTCATTTGATTTTTTTTTCACACCCCTATTGACAGCATACTCAAGTCTTAAAAGACTTGAACAAGTGTCAATTGAGCTATAAGTTCGTTTTAACTAAGGAAGAGATTAAACTTATTCAAAGAAACATAGACTATGCAATAATGCAGTTCTATATTCATAAAGAAAAAAATTATCATGCTGCATCCTGCTCCTTTGAAGACCAATACATCAAGACAGTTAAGTTGAGTAAGACCACCAAGACAATTAAAGAATAAGGAAAATAAACAATCAAGACCCTACATCACTATTGATCCAGAAGTGGCTTTTTTCTCTAGCAAACTATGATGCTAATCCTAATGGAGCCACCAATGATATTGATGGTAAAAATTGCTCTGCTTGATGTCTGCTCCAGCCAGGTCTTTACATAATGGCATTTTTTGCTTGAGAAGAATTAAAACCATGCTACTTCAACCATTCAAGAAGAGACATATCTAACCATCCCTCTGCATAAGGAAAGCCTAGAAAACCAAGACTATCATAAGTGTAAGCAAGTAAAGTCAATAATGATGCTATGCAAGGAAATGGCCAAAGAAAACTTCCAGATTCAAGCTACTATGGACTCTCATCATCTGAACTAAAATCATCCACCCCCCTATCTGCAACTGGTGGAAAAAGTTGCTGACGAAAATTAGGTGGAGGACGAGTTTCTGAGGTAGATGATCCTCTAGAACTAGAAGTATTTTGTTTCACATTTTTTGCTGGAGCTGGTTTCTTTGGTGCATTTTTTATCTCCTTGCATATCTTATCTACCATTATCAAGAAGTCACGTACTATTACAAACAATCTTAAGCCTTCATCCCTCCCTGAATTCCCATGAAAGTAATCACCAGTGCTCTTCACCAGAGCCATGATTTTCTTCTCTTCTTCTAGAAGACTCGTGACATCAGCCTCAGCTTTCTCCACAAAGCTCTTAACCGTGTCATGAAACCCTTTATCATCATCCTCTTCTTTCTTCAGGTCTTTGTTTACAAAGTCTCTTGTTTTTATGAGACCATGGCCAAGCCTTGCAGTTGTTCCTGTTAAGCCATCAGCATCTAGTGCTGCTGCTTTCTTCACATTCTCAAGTTCATTACTCAGACGTGAAACAACTTGAAGACCAAGTTCACGATAGTGGTCTTCTGATTCATGAGATATGTCTTCAAGAAGGTCATCTGTTTTAATGCTAGAGAAACTAAGGCTCTCTTTTGCCATACGAGCAGCTCTTATGCCCTCAGTGCGTATTATCTCTTGAACAACGAAGTGTAAGAGAGTCGTTTTTCCATCTACTCCTTTTACATCTGACAATTTGAGTAGTGTATCAAGTTTAAATGCTAGTGCACCACCACGGAATGTGCCATCATTCATACGGTTCCCAGTTTTGAGAACAGCTTCAAGAAGCTTGAGGAACAGCCTGCTGCTTCTTAATTCCTTACATGCAACCTGAAATCAGATGAAGGTGCAAGAAGAATCATATTTGTTTTCTTGGGGAAGGGGGTTTGATAAATAACAATGATGAATCAAGTGTTGAATGCAGAAATCCACTAATTAGAGGATGTCAATTACAATACATACCTGTTTGTGCATAACTATGTAATGGGATGAAATTCATTGTCACCAGAACAAAATTAGATTGATCTCACAACATTCAATAACTTCATGTAACCTATGTAAGAGTGAATGCATGTTCGTGTGTGAAAGAGAGAATGTTCATACAAATGAAATCTTGAAGTATCTTAAAATGCATTATGACCAAGTTTGGCCAGGAAATTTGTTTGCAGATTACTTATAGCATTAATTAGGATATTGCGTATATATGTAAAAAGGGGAAAGTACTTCTTATGTGACTGCAGAAGGGAAAACTTGCAGCAACACAGGATACGCGTCCGAATCCTGATTTTTTTTTTTGATAGAATCCGCACGTGTATCCTAGGATTCGCACGTGTATCCTAGTGTTAAAAATTTGCTGCAACTTTTCTCATCAGCAGTCACATGAGAAGCGACGGACCCATGCAAAAAATGTCTTAACAAGATTGGCAATAGGCTATATTCGGATGGTATAGCACACTCAAGTCATTCGATGATCTTATTTTGCATTAGCTTAACTACAAATCTTAATGTCATGATCATCATGTGATATAAAGAGTATTAGCAAAGCAACCTGCGATGGAATTAGAGATCCTACCTCTAAAGTTGCAAAAGACTCTGTGGTAACAGTGAGCTCCTCTTCAAGAGTACACATATAAAGCAGTGCTTCCATTCGTTTGAAGGCAAATGGAATTTCAATCAGGGCTTTCAGGAATCGATCAGCAGGCCCAAGTTGTGCTAGGTTACCACTGAAAAGCCTTAGCTTGAGTTCTTCCTCTGACGTTGGTGCCATCTTCAGCAAGGTTTGAATAAATTCTGGGGGGAGCTCATTCCCTGATCAGCCAAAGACAGATTCAAAGATATCATACAAGTGGAATTAGAAATAATAAATTATTTTTGTTTTGCATTTCTATGTATTACTATCCCTATATATATATATATATATATATGTCTCATGGTTTAACACCCAAGAAAGCTCCAAACAAAACAATGCACCTATTAAGGAATTCTTGACTACTAAATCAGTTGCTTGTGTTTTACCAGAAGAACCTAATATTATTATTACAACTATCAGCAATTCTAGAAGAAAATCACCTTCAAGAATTGCATCACAAACTTCTTCTAGTGTCACATTCAATGCTTTCAACAGAATTGATAAATTTTGTGATTTCTTGGAGTCAATGATCTGGATAAACTGAAAAGGATCCAGGGATGAAGATTCTTTCTTCTTCTGTACTCCTTTGTTTTTATCCACAGGCGCAGCAGTATAGCCAAAAAGCGTTTCCATCATTTCTTCATTAAACCTGCCAAACATTCATCATTAAGAACATTAGCAGCCTATAATATAAGATATATCATTCTTCAGGAGCAACAAAAGAAAGTTTGAGACTTAATTACTCACTGGAATGATCCTGCTTTGATCTGATTCCAAACCATGGTTTGATCTGAGTTGGCTTGAACCTTATCCCAGAAGAAAGGCTTTAGCTTAGCTTTAGGAGCATCAGCATCAGCATCACCTTCTGAAGCATCTCCAACTTTCCCTTGAGGCTTTGGTACACCAGCCAAAGGTCTAGGCCCTTTTGGGCCAATTGGAGGAGGAGCTCTAGGAGGACCTACACCACCCTTAGGAGGTGGTGGTGGACGTGGACCAGGTTTGGCACCAGGTGGAGGTGGTGGAGGAGGCTTAGGACCGCCACTGCCAGGTTTTGGGGGTGGAGGAGGTGGAGAGCCACCACTACCAGGCCTTGGTGGTGGAGGAGGAGGAGCAGAAGGAGGAGTAGTGGCATAATCAGAAAGCTTAGAAGGTGGCTCAGGAGGAAGAGGATCAGGTCTACCAGGAGGAGGTTTCAAAGGTGGCATTCCAGTTCCTACCCTACCAGGTGGAGGTTTAAGTTCAAATGATGGTCTTGCAACTCCTGCTAATTGAATTTCCTGCATTGAGTTCTTGTCATCAACCAAAGATGATTGAAACCCGAGTTTCTCCTCTTTCATTGAATTTCTAAACGCATTATTATTGGAAGAAGAACCTGTAACATTGAGGTACTTTTTGTCAAGACTAATATATCACATTAACAAGTTGTGAGAGAATGGGAATATGATATGTACCAACGGAGTAGTCACTCTTGCTCATGCTGAGAAGGGGCCTCTCATCATTTTGTCTAACTCGGCCACTCCCACAACACCGACAACAACATATAAAGATAAGTGCTGCACCCAGAAATGTCACCACTGCAGTTATAGCTATGGCAAGTGCAACTGTTTTCTTGTGATCACTATGATCAGATGACTTGGACTTTTTTTTTTTCTTATCAGGTTTACCACCTTTAGGACTGGATTTTGAAGGTGATTCATCTTCATTTTCTGGTGTTTCTGATAAGTGCTGGGGCAAAACATGACCCAGATTTCTTCTGGAAGAAAGTGATACCATATAAGGGGCATGCCAAATCTTGGAGTCATCCTCTTCTCCATAGACATGGAATGGAAAATTATTTTTTCTCAAACAGTGAAGAAAATTTTCCTTCAACTGAGGATTGCAAGTATTAAACAATTTTCTGATGTTTTCTCTTGCTATTGATCCATTTTCGGAACTAATTTCATTGGTGCTACTTGGTGATTCCTTCTGGAGGCATAAGTCAAGATCTCCAACTCCTTTCTTTGAATGAATCAAATCTTCACCGCAAGTGATCCATAGTACTTCTGCCTGCAGTCATGAAACTATAACCAGTTTTAGAGTCCATCCATTCTTAGCAACAATGAAGCACATAACCTCAACCTCTATGTGCTTTCAAATCTGACAAATAATTATAAAAAATCAAAGAATTGCAATTTAGTGGAACGTGATCTTAGCAATAAATGAGAGTGCATGCTCATTCATATCCTCTGAAAGTTGATTTTCAGATTGAACATTTTACTTAGGAGCAAGCAGGGAAGATACAGGGACACCACCACCATCTGGGCTTATACATGTACATAGATATATCAATACATGCATAATAAAACTATAAATTTGTTAAAATCTACTCTCTCAATTTTTCAATCAACACTTGTAACTCCATATTTTACCTTTCAAAGTGTACCACACTTTAGAAAAGCCAAATCCATCAAATGAAGGTAATGACAGGCTTAACACAATCAAGAATAGAAACAGAATATCCACACCATTCTTTAAAGATTAGTGAATCCCCCAAATCCAATCAAGTAAAGAAACACAAAACTACTGTTTTCCTTGGAAAGTCAAAACCTAAAAAATTCCAAGGTACTATAATTGTGTTAACTTTTCTTTACATTTTGTTTTTGAATACTCTTCTTTATGGGGTTGAAATAATAAAAGTATTTGAACTTGAAAACTACCTAAAAACAAATAACTAGTGAAGCGAGTCTCACCGTGTCCTCATCTAATAGTCCAGATGCTGGATCAAATAGTTGGCTAAGGAATTCTTCTTGTGTTGCCGTCTTTTCTACAATGCTGAGGGTTGCCACAATGTTAAGAGCCAAAACAATGCAAAAGCTAGCCTTCATATATTGTTGAATTGCCATTCCAAAGTGCTTCATATGATTCTTATTTCATCAAGGCCTAAAAACCCAATAACCACACAAGTCTACATTGCGTTCATCAACCCCAAAAAATTTCATTTTTCATTATCAACAGCCAATCCATTTCCATTCTTCTGCAGATTAACCCTATCACAGGCTTGCAGGCACCAAATCCACAATACCCACCAATGATGTAGCAAGAAGAATAAGAATTCTGGGATCATACACAACGAACAAAAGCACAACCCCAAAAATAAAAAAAAATAAATTTTTTTTTTTTTACCCTCTCCAAGAATTGCCAAATTATTATTGGATTGGATCACGTTCAATAAAAAGTAATAATAATCATAAATGTAAACCCACCATAAAACAATCAAAAATAGCTCCAAAAAAGATTCTGGGAAAGATCTTTGTTTTGCATGTGACAAGGATCCAAGGAAAGGAGCTCAAACAACACGTGGTGTTGGATCAATGCGTATAGGCCATGATGTTGTTGTTGTTGATCATGAAATGTTGGAAAATGTAGCAATGTTGTTTTTTTGTGGTAATAATGAGTCAGTGATTAAGTTTGTGAATGTGTTTTGGAAAATGATGATGAGATTATGGGAAGTTTCTTGGCGCGAGAACCCCCACGCGCTAAGGGCCGTCCTACGAATTATTCTGGATTAGGACATTGGCAACTACTCTGCAACACAGACTTCTCCTTTTAAGCTTGTTTTTCTCTCTTCTCTTCTCTTCTCTTTTATTTTCTTTTTCTTTTTCACTTTTTTTCTTTCTTTCAAATCTCTCTCTCTCTCTCTCTCTCTCTCTCTCTCTCTCTCTCTCTCTTTAATTTTCTAATTTTATGATAGCTACATGAAAATTTAATAGCCATAGCATCGTAAAATCAAAGATTCATTATTAGCTCTCTATCTTTGGCTATATCATTCATAACATAACAATAAAGGTATTATTCGTTGAAATTCATTATCTCTTTGGACCAATTGAATTTTGTTATGTTGGTGTGTAAATCCATGTTATTAAACTGGATATCGAATCAATGGATGGATTATTGATTCAACCCCTAAGTTATTGGTTAAATCATTTAAATTGAATTTATGTAAAAATATATAATAAATATATGAAAAGAAATATTAAAAAAACTAACGTAATCTGATTTACAGGTTAGCATCTCACTTCACTTTTCAGTAAAAAATGATACCAAATTAACACTAGTTGATTTGGTTCGTTTATCAATTCTTAATTGAATTATACGCATAATCTATTAATTGACTGAACCAAATCGATTAATTATTTGAATGTCCGATTCTCAATTCAATTGATCCAACTAATGATAACCCGACTTCAAATCAATATTTGAAAAGACACAAGCACCTCTCAACTGATCAAGCAAATCATCAATGCGAGGGAGATGATACTTGTTCTTAATAGTAACTTTATTAAGCTAACGGTAATCAGTGCACAATCTTATGCTGCCGTCTTTCTTCTTCACAAAGATGACCAGTGCTTCTTATGGGGACACACGGTCTGATAAACTGCTTAGCCGAAAGCTCCTCAATATGCTTTTTTAACTCATCTAACTCCGATGGTGACATCCAATATGGAGCCAAGAAAATAGGCCCCATATTAGGCAACAAATCAATCGAGAACTCTATCTCTTTCTCATGTGGGAAATATAGAATCTCCTCAAGAAATACCTCCACAAACTCCTTCACCACAGAATACTGTCAATTTCCTCATGACTTCCACTCACTAAACCTCCCACGAAGACATATCCAAATGCCTCGGCCCTCGGCCCTAGGTTAAGGTCTTTCAATTCACCATCTGGCTCAGGTCTCGGAATGACAGCTTCTTCTCTGATGTCTAACTCAACCATATTAACTGGTTTTCTTAAGTGTTAAGAGGTTATTTGCTTCCCTACCTTATCTCCCGAACGAATTCGAGGTGGACTTAAATGTCCGCCTTCATTTTCTTTGACAGCTTCAAAATAACATTGTCGTGATTCTTTTTGATACCTTTGAATAATGATCACCTCATTTTTGTTGCTCACAATCTTCAGCTTTTGATGTTTTGTGGAAACCAGCATGTCCCACCTATGCATGGTTGGCCTTCCTAGGATCACATTATACGGAGAGGGAAAGTCGGCTACAATGAACCTTACTCGTTTCGATTTGAATGCCTCCTTTGTCCGTAGAGTTAATCTGAGGTCTATATATCCCTTAAGGGGTGTATTTTTCCCGTTAAAGGCTATCAGGGTAGTTTTACATTGCTTGAGATCTTCTGCATCCATATTCATTCTTTTAAAAACATCCTAAAGGATGATATCTGCACAGCTGTCGGCGTCTATGAATATCTTTTTATCCTGACAATTCACCAAGGTTCTTGTAATAACCAGGCCATCTCCATATCCTGGTAGTACACCTTGCATATCTTCTTTGGTAAAATACAGCAGAGGAGGATTCGATTTACTAGGATCTTCCTTGAACTTTGGCCGATCCCTAACCGAAAGTACCTCTCTAAGATACTTTCTTCTTGCGCTTACAGTGTCTCCACCTCCACCAAGAGCTCCACTGATTACATTGCAGTCGAACTCGATTTCTGGAAATTCATCATCATTGAAGTCTTCCTTCTTTCCTTTATCATCTTTCTTTTTCTTCTTAGGAGTTGGGCTCTTGCTTCTACTTTGGCCCCCTGGATTTCCTTTTGTTATTTTTCCATCCTTGCTTCTTGATCACACATAGACACAGTTTTCCACCCCTGATGAATTTCTCCACGACATCTCTAAGATCCCAGCATTGATTAGTAGTATGCCCATGTCCATTATGAGAAGAACAGAACCTGGACTGATCTAAACCTCCTTTGTTGAATATAGGCCACGGTCGTTCTACTTTCTTCATCTTGGTCATTGCTACCTCTCTCCATATCTAAGATAGCGATACATTTAATAGAGTTTATTTTTCATATTTCCCTACCCGGAATCTGTCATTTGAGTTTCTCCCACGGAAATCTTTCTTTCTGTTCCGGGGTCGTTCTTTTTCCTTTGGAGCTGGAATTTTCCTTCTTGAGCTCATCTTCTTATTTTCTTCTCCTGATGCATTTACTATCTCCATTTATTCAAGCTCCAAATATTTCTTTTATCGGGTTCTGAATTCCTTTAGCGTTTTGACAGGATCCTTGTATATAGATTTAGATGGCCAATAGGACTATTTTACATTTGAGTATCCTTAGGACAACATGAGAGCACGAGGGATGTCTCCTGGAGATGTTTAACACACTGCATGAATATATATTTACTGCATTATTTACGGTTATTGCTATTATACTGTGAGTGAACTATGGGATGGAGAAATGCTCCAAGGACCCCTGGTTTACTGAGATTTATTCGTATATCTCACCTCGTGTTGTGGGGACCCCCTTTTAGGTACAGATACTGCAGGAGCCTCTGGTGGCAAGTGGCCATACTTGGATTAGAGTGAAACATGAGGATATTGTATTATTTTGGGTTATGCATGTCATGTAGTAGTTTCTATGTATAGGATTTATATTTGAAAGCCATGTGATATGTGTACATCATGTTTTATTGGTGGACTTAGCCTATGCTCACCTCCTTTGGTGTCTCTTTTGTTGATGAGAGCCAATGATTTGATCATAGTGATTTGTAGCTAAGTCTCATCGTTATATATTAAAGACACTTGGATATTGTGTAATATTATACTTATTGTATATGTGATGGAAGGGCATGGATGCCTATTTGATAAGTGTGTGTCTTGAAATAGCTAAGAATCATGTATTGGAGTGGTAGTATAATTTCTATTAGGTGAAAGAAAACCTTTGGGGTTGAGATATAAATTTAAGAATACTATGTCTTGTTATTCATTTTTCATATCTTATATGATAGATTTGGACTCTTGCATCTTAATAGAAGTTATAGATCTTTCTCTTAGCTTTCCAACGAGACCAAGATTGCATCAATCAGATAAGTATAACTCAAGTTACGAGTAAAATACAAATGTAGGCTGAAATCTCCAGACCTTAGCGCAACGAGCGCCAAAGTTCGCACTGTCAGCGCGGGACAACACGAGGAGGACAGTGTTATCGCGCTACGAGCGCGGGCCCCTTGTGAAATTCAACACTTTTTCTTCAAAAATTCATAACTTAGGCTACGGTGCTTCGATTTGAGCGCGGTTTGAACCCACACGTAGCTAACAAAGAAATATATAACATATTGGAAAATGAAGACCATAGAAATAGTATAAAATTCCTTAAGTAAACTAAAAAGTGGAGGTGTTTAGTGTTGAGTAACGATAAAAATGAATTGTTAAGCCTTGTTGGTCTAAGGGGACTACTTGGCACACTATAGTGGTAACGTATAGTTTAAATAAAATTACATTAGGTGTTCCACACATAGTTTAAGTTATGATTACAACTATTGCAATTGTTTTAATTACGGATTTGATTTTATACATAAACGTTTATAAATAAATAGGAAAAGGTTTATCCGTACTTTAATTCAATTGTTGTGATTGTAACTACGCCTAATGCAATACGTAATGTTAACAAATCAGTTCTAGAACGGGGTGTTACATTTCATGGTATCAGAGCAGGTTTTTAGGGAAACTTGTGGATTATTGTTGTATGTACTTGGTGTTTAATGCTTTATAGTTGTTTTGGTACTCTTTATGATTATTGCATCTATGATCACTGAGTGTGAGCCTGATCAACTCATTTCTTTGTGTAACATATGTAGTGTCATGACGAGGAACCAGAACAACCTTGAGGCATCGAATGCCAATGCTCATCCAGATCCTGCTTTGGCTGCTTTAGTTAGGCCCTGAAGTGGTCGTGGGGCAACAGGTGGACAGTCTGATCCCTTGGCGGACACTCTGGCAGCCGGACACTATTGAACATCCATTGAAACCATGAAGCGGCCATACCCTCCATTTTGGGCCCAGTGAGAGCCACCTTAGTTTCCTCTGGAATGTTTTGAAGATTGAAAAACATTT